CACACATAATTACCCCGTGTATTTGATTTAGAATAATACAAATATTTTGTATATGTACGTATAGTTTATCTGAAGTCACTTGAAACACTGTGAAATACCGGGTGTGTTTTATATATCTATATTTAACACGCTCTGTTGCTGCAAAAATCGCCCAATTTCGCAGCAAATATCCCTCGTATAAGATCAAAGGCAGTTTCACCGGTCCACGTGGAGTAAAGCACGCCTATGCGTGGACATAGCCAATGAGAAAGCGTGTATTTCAGAGCTCCGAAAAAGTGCAGGTGGCTACTGAAAATTGAAACAGTTTAGCCAGTGCCGTGTAGCGGTGAATAAACGTGTTTTCTTTAGTCTGTCCGTGTTTTTTCATAGATTTTATTAGTTTGTGTGTTTTTGACTTTTGAATACTCAGTTTACTTGTTGATTTAATTGTTGTGTTGATTGTTCTTGTTTGTCCTAAATATGGCTCTTTGGAGACCTTGGGAAAATGCTCCAAGCCACGAGGAGATGGTTGATGAACCTGTGCAGGCAGAATTCTTTCATAAAGATTTAGAGGAACAGACCCAAAGAGTAATCCTAAATATGTATGATTGTCTGAAAAACGAAAATCCAGATTCCTCGCAAAATCAAATTTTAAACAGAATTTGTATCCTGACAAAAATCAGTCGGTCTACCATTTATCGGGTTATAAAAAGGGGAGATGTAGTCAACCATTCCTTCCGCAGAAAGCGCATAGGGCAAAAATTAAAAAGAATAGACGTGGGTTTTCAGGAAGATATTCGTCGTATAATATACGGATTTTATAAAGAAAATTTGGTGCCCACGTTGGAAATGATACGGGATAAATTAAAAGATTATCCTGAAGATTTTTATAATTACAAATGCTTAGACTCACTGCACTGTATTGTAAAACTGTGTGGTTTTCAATAGAAAAAATTAGATAAAAGAATGGTGATTATGGAGTCGTCTCGAATCGTTGAATTGCGCCAAGAATTTTTGCACAAAGTTAAAATCTATAGAGAGCAGAAAAGAAATCTGATTTACCTGGATGAAACGTGGTATGATACCCATGATGTTGTGCAGTACGGCTGGGTTGACGACAGCAACAAGTGAATTTTAAATGCACCATGCAACCCTGGAAAACGAATCATTATTCTCCATGCTGGCAGTGAAAATGGATTTATACCTAATGCCTTGCTGTTATCTGCCAAAAATATCAAAGAATCATGTGCCGACTATCATGAGGACATGACCTCCGACTTATTTGAAAAGTGGATAGAGCAGCAGTTAATACCAAACATTTCCCCAAATTCAGTGATTATTATGGACAATGCGCCATACCATTCCCGACAGAAAAACAAAATTCCGAATACAGGCACAAAAAAACAAGACATTATTGATTTTATGAAGGATAAGGGAATGGAGATACCACAAAAATCAACCAAAGCCATATTATTGGATCTTAATAAAAGACAAAAATTTTAAAAATAGTATGTTGTTGACAATCTGCTTCAGCAAAATGGCCATGAAGTATTACGTCTACCTCCCTATTACTGCATTTTTAACCCAATTGAGTTGGTCTGGGCTGCTTTTAAAAAAAAGTAAGAAAACATAATCAGACCCCTCAATTAAGTGAATTGCTATTGGCCACAATAAGAGATGCAGTATCTCATATTGCAGCCACAGACCTATGGAAGCAGTGTTCTAGGCATATTATTGAAAAAGAAAATGAATATTGTGTTTTGCCTCCTGTAAATCCAGTTGTAATTTCTCTACAAGATGACTCTAGCGACAGCTCCGAAGGCGAGGATGATATATAAATACCTATAATGTAAGTCTTTATATACCTTTTTATATACCTACCTGCTATGTAAATATTTGCCTATGTCAAATGTTGGAATTCTGTAAGTTTTCCATTTCTTAACTTTCAGTCAACATAAATTAAACTCCCAATATAAGTATTTTTTATCCCAAATCAAAAAAATAAGAAGATAGTAAAATCCATTTATTGTGATATAAAAACATTATTATTATCGTTCTAAATAAATAACCGCACGCCTATGATGCGTCATGAAATTACAAAGGACGCGCCGACCAAAGGTTTTTATGCTATTTCAAGTGACTTCAGATAAACCATACATCTATATTCTTACGCAACAACTATTCATTCCCCACATATAAAAGCAACAAGCACAAAAAACGATCTACCCAACAATTATCTTTTGTACACTGGTTGCTCGTGCCATGGTACAATATCGTTATTATACCCATCATCAGAAGGGTGATGATAGTATACGTGCAGAAGCAACATGTGGTCGTCGTGTGCCCCATGCGCTTTGCAGGTGCCGTGTGGTGAGTCACCCGTCTCGTACCACTTGTTAAATAGGTTATATTTGGTTGGAGGAAATATAGCAAGTGTAAACGGAAGACGCTTGCATTAGCGTTGGAGTAGACGCCGGTGAAAAAGTACGACCGACCGACGTGTCAATGTCTGGACGGTGTAACGGTCAACGACGTGCTTTCTTTCACTTCTATCAATTTATGTAAAATTGGAGAGGTTGCTCCTCATGCGTGAACGATAAACACTCTGAAATGCATTCACGTTTTTTTAAGGAATTTTTGTATTGGCTACATGTACGAAGTTTTCCTGAAGCACTAAATTAGGTACAGCCCAGTATAATGATATTATAAAATGTGGAATTTTGAGTACGTTCTCAGGTTAACTAGTAAACTAGAATGAGTAAAATATCAGTTAAGTCATTTAGAGCTTGTAACTTAGGAGATCTTTGGGGGCCTTGTTTCATGTTCTTAAAAAGCTCTGTGTTCTTAGGTTTCGACCAGCATTACAACTGTGTCCTTTTCACTTCCCACGCCTACTGTCAGGAAAGCATTGTAATCTCGAAAAATTTTTGTTTTTTTTTTATGTAATAGACGCATATCACGAAAAACCATGTCACTCATTTCTATCGGTCTGTCTGCTAATCCTTGGTCCGTCTATAACTCGGAGTGTGCTGCTCGAAACTGATTTAAATTTGTACACAAAGTTACTACTATGCCAAGGAGGCAAATCAGACTAGTAACGGCGGAGAAAAATGCCAAAAACGGAAAAAAAATCGCACCGAACTTCGTTTTTGGAGGTTTTCAAGGATCCTGAACATTTTTCTAATTATTTTTAGGGTTAAAAAATTTCGGTGGGGGTTTTTAAGGGAGTGGGGGAGATCGAGCATTTTCTTGATGTTGGTGTATTAATACACTTCCAACCCAAGTATTTCTAAGCGCTTATTAAATATACTTCGCGCCTCAGAGATTTCCCCGTACATTTGCACTTACAATTTAAAGCTCTCTGGCTTCTCCGACGGGAGTGCCAGTCTTCATAAGTGTCCTGGAATTACTGGCGCTGTGCCGCGCTTCCGCATCTGACGTGTCGTGCGATCAGGTATGGAGGAGAGACGACGTTGCCAGATGAAGGATACTACGGGTAGATCAAGGAAATAACGTCTATGGACTAGTTGTATAGATCTGTTTGACGGACTTCATCAGTTTAATTCCTTTTTTATATACGTTGTTAACTAGCTTTTTCTCAGAGTTTACACTATCTGATAGTGCCAGCTATAATTTGTTATCATATGTTTAATTCCCGATGCAGAAGCGACGGGCATTTAATTAACATGTTTGTTATATTCTCGTTCTCTATCAATAAACATTATTTTATCTGCATATAAGCATCGTAGCTCCCAAAACTGATGAACAAATGTAAGAGCGCTTTTTTATAGAAATTGTTTTCTATAGATATAGTCCTTAGCTATCGGGCATCCAATGTTTTCCTGTGAAAAAAAAATATCGAAAAAACAATGCAAAGTAATATTTTTTTAACAAAAAACATTAGGATTTTTGTTGCCACCAGCACTCGAGCTTCTTGTTACAATATTAATCAGCATCGTGTTTTTTAGATTTTTCGGAATACTAGATGCTCTTATGATAGATATTACTTTTCATAATTCATGTGAAAGTTAGACTTTTCTACTATTTTGTTTGTATCGGGGTGGCTACTTAGTGCTTCTTTGCTAATTTGTTTAGACAAAAAGCTTGTTAACAAGCGCTTGTCGATTATCTTCATTTTTCTTTCATAATTAAATTACTAACAGTTGCTGTACCAAACCAAGGCTTTTATTACTACGATAGTGCTGATTACAAATGCTTAAGCACAACTGAAAGCAATGTGATTGAGCAATAAAATCACAAGAAAAACATTTAAATGCTGATCATATGATTACTGTAATAAAAAATTACATGTTCGATTGATTAGCTCCTATGTTTATTCATAATCCTATGAGCAATCGCAGATACAAGGGAAGTAGCATTCCAGTCAAGTTTTCCTTCGAGGTTATGCAAGTCAAGATTTTTATCCATATACAATCGCTGTCGCTTTAATGTTTAAATGGAAATTTATTTTTAATACTAGGAATGGTAGTTACCTTGATGCAACTATAAATAATCATGATCAGCGCGGAGAGTAGAGATTAACATACCTTTGAGATCGTTTGTATGTACATATAGCACAGATGTGATATTTGTTATAATAATGCAAAATCCGAAGATCAGTATCTCTCTGTGGAGGCAGGCGAAATCTTATCTTATACCTTCTTCAAAAACAAACGAATTTCAATAAAACGCTGCAATACTATAGACGTTGGAGAATAAATCACAATGATGCTTTCAAAGTTTGAAAATATTATACACTATGTTAAATAAAAGTATTTTTCGAAAAATATGCATTCGCTATAGAAACTACGACATACATACTCGTAAATAGCGATGTCTTTCACATCGTATTTCAGTTGTAACTAGCTGATTGGTTTCCATGAATATAGCGTGTTCATTGAAAAGTGAATGAATCACATGCGCGTGCACGTGCGGTGCAAAATCTGCTGATTACACTTGGATCAATCTGATGCAAGGCACCTGTGCATCTGTCTAACAGCCGGTTCCTTTCTGTTCCGCAGGTGCTGTGGCATCTGGACATCTTTCGCAGGAGTTTTAGAGACCTGTCCGGCCATGCGTGCATGGCTGATTCCTGCATTTTCTGCGCTCTCAAGGTAAGATTTTTTTTTTGCTTTTGGTTCAATAGGTTGGTTGGGATTTGCATGCAGGTGGAGAAAGGCTGACTACACATCTAGAGTGTTTGGATGATTTTGATTTAATTGTACGTCAAATTGAAGTTTTAGATGAGATATTAATATTCTTAAAGTCTTACATTGATTTTACATATCGTTCTTCAGTTATGGAAGATTGAATATCGAAGTTTTGCATTAGCTCAAAGTGATTATGAGATATTCAAATTCATCATTCACAAAAAGTTGCCTGACAAGCACGCCATGAATATATATCTTAAAGCTCAAATAAAATTAGTATCATCTAGCTATGTTTAAAATCGAAAATTATTCTATAGTGCTATTATAATCTGAATGGTATTTTACTCTACCTTTAATCGATGGTAGCTCAAGATCACAATACAAACTCATATTTGGAACACTAAACTTTTATCATAAACTTTCAGTGGACGGTCTGTTAATGTTATCGCTTTTCTGAAATTGGAGATTAGAGCCTCGACTAATTAGTACTAAAGAATAGTAGAGATAGAACCTAGATCCATTATCTTTAATATTGTAAAATCTTGTAATTTATTTTTTTGCTGTCAATGCTAGACGCACCTATACTGTACACCCCCAAAGGTTGTCATTGATCAAATAGACCCAAATCTACTCGTAAAAGCCCACATTTCAAATGCAGTTGATATCGGTGTTCGATTACATGGAAATGAAGTCTGCGAATACGTTCAATTTCAGTCCAAATGTAAATTAAGTTTTCATACACATATAGTTATCTCATCTTCAGAGACAAACGGACTCACTAAGGCATAGGTTCTAAGCATCCTGTAACCCTGTAAGTTTTGTTGATTCAAAAGACGGCAACCATAGATTCCCGCAAGGGAGTGCCAAAAAGGAGCAGGGCTGACAGTTCGGTTGCACTCTAAAAGTTATCACACCTGCTCTTCAAAGAATTTTGGGTATGATACACTTTCACAACATAAAAAAAATCCTCTCGTTTATCGGCTCCTCCTAAGAATAATTAATGTAGGCACCTATGACGGCAACAGCAGACTATTTCCAGAATATATATTTTTTTTGTTTGTTGAATTGTTAGTAAAACCTTCAATATGGAATTTAACTCAGGTACCGCAAATTGCCGATCTCTGGCCTTATTTCCAATTTCCAATATTAAAACACAGCTTTCGGCTATAAGGTCAGTAATTGCATGTTAATATTCTGAAGATATTTTCATAAAATACAAGCACAACAAATATGTTTAAACTTCCTAAACACTTTATCCTAGTAGTTGAATACCTTTATAACGAAACATCCATCTTATTACGACTATCCTACTTTTTATCTCTAGAAAAACATCCAAGCAAGTGTCAAAACACACGTTTTCACACATTTCCTTCCTACTAGACATTACATTGTTTACCAAAGCACGGCCTACTCTCCTTGAAAGCGTTTCCGTCCAGAACAAACAAACGACAAACGAAGCACGTTTTTCCTGCATTTCAAGAGAGAAAATTAATGTCACCTGTTCGTAGGTTTCTGTAACCGGTTATATTTTCGGTGGCGTACCCATTTTGTGGACGCATATATCATGTAAACAAATAGGGCTTATGAATAACAATATACAATCAAGCTAAATCGTCTAACTAATCGTTTCCTCAAGCACGATAAATGACAATCTGCGCTTGTATATCTGAAACATAATTGTTTTCAACGCACACTTGGGCTAACGAGACCTTCAAATTCCTTCATAATATAGTAATAATAGTATGGTAGAATGAAAATAGGCATTATTGGGATTGTCAGTGCATTCTTCCGTTGTTTGTCTTGCAAAATGCTCAACATTTATACAGCTGGTTGTTGATAGTAAAAAACGCTGATTGCATGCATATTTTATATATTGGACATTTACATATTTATTTTCATCTATTTACGGATAGGTGCTTGTATTTTTTGTGGCTGACACTGTGTCCTGAGAATACATGCATGATGATACAAAGGTTAATTTCGGTGTTACAAATGTATTCCTGTACATATTTAAAGCTTGTAATAACTGTAGTATTTTACTTCTGCTGCAATATCTAACATCTAAAGTTTCTATTTATGCGATCCTGAAGTACATGTCCTCCACCAAAATGGATGTTTCTTTTTTACTGATTTTGATGGACACTACCGAATAGTCCCAGAAAGTTCAGGTCCCAAAAGTGCCAGGATTTGGACCGTAAAACCTTGTCTTGATTCTTTCGCCTTTTTTGGGACTAAGAATAGATAAATCTAACAATAAAAATGCAAGTCGTGTGTCATGTAACATGATCTACGAGCAATAGGACAAGAAACTATCTATCTATCTATCTATGAATTTGGCTTATGCTTAGTTGTCGTTCGCGTTCAATAATCTATTTTGCGTGGGTCACTACTTATACTAGTTTTTTTTTTGAAAACTGATTCATGGTTAAGAATATCGTTCCTTATAACTATAGGTATAAGTGAAATGCAATTCCTAAAACGGGCTAAATAGACCAACAGTTGAATGTGAATTTGGAATTAACTTCACCATTTATTTGAACCTAATTTTAACACAAAAACAGATATTGGCCCTGAGGCCCCGAAAATCTAGACCTTGCAGTTCCTTTGACGACTAGTCCCGCAATTGCCTTGCTTATCTTTCAGATAACCGGCTCTAGATTCCACGAGTAGAAAAAAATGCTTCAAGAGACTCCAACAGTGCGTCAGACATGAAGCCCCGTATATAAACTATATACACATCCACCAAAATTTGAAAAATCGTACAATGGGAGCACGTGAAATAAAACAATGGGAATGGGAAAGGAAATTATGGTATTACTTTGTTAATGAATCTTCTGGGAATCAATTATATCTGGTTTTAAAGTAATTTGCTCTGCCTAAAAGTATGTAAGAGCTTTTGTTATGCAGGATACTCAGTTTTTTAGTTTCTTTAAAGACATGACATGACATGATGCTCAAGTACACCTAAATTAAATGTCGTTGTGTTTATGAAAGCATGTAATTAGGAACTTCTTAAAAAATATATCTGTCCGTTATCCAGTATGCGTGTGGTACCTAGTATGTGGGCAGAAGTCGGTATGCGAAGACATCTTTCCCTAATAAGGAGGAGATAATAAACCTATTGGTACACTAAACTCAAGAACAGATTGTGGTCATTCTCAGAAGACTATGACTGTTTAGTTCTACCAGAAGACCACCTAAGTACCTTTTGTACCTGGGTGGTGCCACGTAAATTGCTATAAACATCGACATGTTTTTGCCCGGTGGTGCCTATGAGAAGTAACAGGTAAAATTGAAATTTTGCTTGTTATTCTCGCACATTATTATGCTATCTGAATCATCAACAAAATAAAAATCTACAACCAATAGACCATTATATAAGAGAAAGGCGTTGCAGGCCGAGCACTGCTTTTCCAAATTTCTTTTTTTTTTAATTTTAAGCAATTCCTTTATTATCCATGAAAGGCATATAAAAACTAATTAGTTAATGTTATACTAAATATATGCACATCAAAAAGTATTATGGAGTTTAATATTATAATACTAATTTGAACATTTACAGGTTTTTTCAATTCAAGACTCATTTAACACAATAACATTTCATATCCATATTACTTTACATAATATTCACATACATCAACTTTCTCTGATTCTCTGAAAATATTACATTTGCTATGCAGATGTAGACACACATCAGCATTCCTCACCTCGGCAACATAGGTATTATTTATTTTTCATTCATTTAAAGAAAAAGGAAACTAGAAAATGATGACTAATTACCTCACGTATATATTAGAGAAGTCCAGGTAAGGAGAATTGTTTTTTTCTTCGGTACCTTGTAATTACGGAGTCACAGGGGGTCTGACGTTTTTTGAATACACTACATGAAAGAGATTTTTTAAGAAAACGGGATTAGGACCAAATGTCAACAGTTATTTCGCCCCTAAAAGGTATAACATTAGTGTTTGTTCAGTTTTTTCTGAGTGAAAAGTGACAAAAGCTGGTACGTAATTCGTTTGTCAGTTTTTTCATGCCCTGTCGTAAAACGCCAATAATACGAGTACTTATTGAATACCTGATGACGTATGTGATATCATTTCAGCCGGAAATATAGGCTATTTAAATCCTCTTTCGTTATACGAATTTTATATGTTTTTTCCAACGCAGTAGCGAAAAACCAAGAATAAACTGTATCATACCGAGAAATGTACTTTGATCTATTTTAAAAATGCAATGCAAAGCTATATTTGGAGATATCTATTTTTAGTCCAATCGTTATGTTCATCTGTTCACGATTACAAGAATCAAAACCCTGCTTCTAAAAATCATAATATTTTGCGCTTATTTTTCTTGGCTCTGGACCATTGCCAGTCATCCATTAAATTTCAAGACTGGTGGAAGTTTCTAAATCACACTACTATTTGCCATACCACCATTTTATTACAGTTCTCCTAGAATAGAGCCCTGTAGATGAAATATATGAATAAAACTTAGTGAAAAGATCATCCTTATAAATATTAACTACTTGCAATCACAGCTTTGCTTTCAGTATTCAGCTGGGTTTATGTTAATGTTTGATTAACCATATGAAAAACCCCATTTTTAAATACAGTAATTTCAAGCGTGTCTGACACCTCATTATCACTCCTGGACTTTAGATTCGAAAAAGGTCAGGTCTTTAAATCACACGACCATCTGAGTTTTCAACTAATTGTTATATAAAGGATATAAAACACCAGCCCTAGGGTTGAGCCTTGTGGAGCACACGAAGGAATTCATCAAGAGGAAATTTTCTTCAGCAGCTTCAAATAATTGATTTGGTATGACGTAGGCCACGAAATTTCAATTACCCTATAATCAGTGCTTAATGACCCGTGTCAAGATCCCACTTCTGAACAGCGTGATCTCGCGCGCCACTGAAGTCTTGGCTCACGACCATTATCACTTCTCGGCTTAAAATTTAA